ATATTAGGTATTCATAGGTAATGAAAATCCTTGATTTAACCTCATTATTTTTGCACAAACTTTAACTGACTCATATGTTTGGAGCATTTTTAGGTCCTGATTTTTGTTGTTTTTGTGCAGTCGAGGTGATATTTTCATGATTTATTGTTTTATGTATTTCATAAGCACCGAATTTATTTCTAAATAAAGATATTAATAACTCAAGTAATTAATTTTACCAATATACATTAAAGTTTTATATTAAGTTTAAGATTAATCATGATTAACTCACAGTTACTTTGGAATTAATAGATTAAATTTTTAACCCTTTGACCGCCCTACGTTTTTGGGAAAAAAATCTTTAAAAGATTTGGTCAGTGTTTATTAGGTAAATTAACTGACTACAGGTTTGTCAGTTCTGATCATGGCAGCCATGTACAGTTGAATACTTTAATTCCAAAGGGAAATTAAACGTAAAGTCTCCTGGTTAATAAGAGCTGGATGTGAGCAGGAGGGTCTCCTGTAGGGGTCAGTCTTACTGCACATTTAAAATAACTTTTTTTTATCTTTGTGCTCCAGTTAGTAGCTGAAACACACAGTTCATGAGATTTTAGGTATAAATTGTAGCTGTTTAATCCTACGATTATTAGGAGAAATCCACCAATAAATGATGTTATTGTACCTTCAGAGACTCCCCTGAAACCCCCCAGTCAACTGGATTTCACTGCGTTGTGTTCAGAGCCAGCTGCATGAAAGAATGCGAAGAAATGGTGTGTCGGATCGGTAAGGAACAACACAATCACACAATCACGTCTCGTACATCTGTTGTGCTGAGTCAGTGTTTTTGTTTTACAGCCACTGGTTTCAAGCAYACTGAATGGTTTGTGTAATCAGCTGTATTTAAATATCATTTATTGTAAATAAAGATGTTATAAAACATGACGTCTGTGTGAATAAAAGCTGCTGAACACAATTCTATCCATAAAGACCTTTAATAGAAAGACATGTGACAACATTTCATAAATATTAAATGTAGCTGCCAAAGTTTGTTGGAGAAAACATGTAAAAATGAGCCCAGAAAAGARGGGGAGGGTTTGTGACATCATCACTGAGAGCCAATGAACAGGACTGSTGAAGTCCTGGTGAAGTCCTGGTGCTGCAGTGAGGAGCACCAGGATGGGGGTGTTGTGGTTTTATGGTGTACTACAGTAAAGAAACRCTGTCTCTGGGGAAAAATAAAAATAAAAGCTGGTAAAGACTGCGTGACATGTGACGGGGTACATTTATGATGACCCAAAACGTGGCAGGTAGAAACTTCCCTTAGTGTAATCACGTTTGTGGAATGGTTCCTTTATTGTATTATTCTAAAAAATACAAAAGTCAAAACTTAAAAATAAAATAAAAAATGTCCACAAAATGGTTTGATAAATAGGAGCATGTCAGGACAAAGAGACCACATGGCTTCAGGCCCTCTCGCCCCTTATCCTRCGAGCCAGCTGGATGTCTTTGGGCATGATGGTGACCCGCTTGGCGTGGATGGCGCACAGGTTGGTGTCCTCAAACAGACCCACCAGGTAGGCCTCACTGGCCTCCTGTTCAAATAAAACAAATATATGAAGCAGTACTTACACTACAACACTGAGTTACTCTGGGACAACAGCTCACCTGCAGAGCACCGATGGCAGCGCTCTGGAAACGCAGGTCGGTCTTGAAGTCCTGAGCGATCTCCCTCACCAGGCGCTGGAAGGGAAGCTTACGGATCAGCAACTCGGTGGACTTCTGGTAGCGACGGATCTCCCTGAGAGCCACGGTGCCAGGCCTGAGGAGCAGCAGAGAGCTTGGGTTTTAGGAGGGGATCAACAGAAAGACAAGGCTCCAGGTGAGAATAAACCCACCTGTAACGGTGGGGCTTCTTCACGCCGCCTGTGGAGGGCGCGCTTTTCCTGGCTGCCTTGGTGGCGAGCTGCTTCCTTGGCGCCTTTCCTCCGGTAGATTTACGGGCTGTCTGCTTGGTACGAGCCATTTCTTTACTTCTGAAAGACAGAAAACACACATGTAAACCCGAACACGTCATACAGCRGAGTGAAACCAGTGTAAACACGGACACACAACAACATGCTAACACAACTAGCGCCCCTCCCCCAACGCTGCAGCTGAGAGGCGTCGGCCTCCAGTGATAAACCAGCTTTATTTAAAGATAAAACCTCTGTACAACCACTGGATTTATCATTACAGCTGGTAAAAACAGTCCTCCACAGTCATTCATGTCAGATGTGATATTATGCTACATACAGACCTAATGCTAATGCTAATGCTAAAGGCTACATTATCATCACAAGAAATGGCGCCCGAACAGCGCGGCTTTGCTTTTCGACCCTCGCCATTTTCAGCTTCATCCTGAACCGCAGAGTTACAGCATGAAGTCACACAGGCACAATAATCTTATCTGTTTTTATTAAATATACCACACAGTCACTACAGGTTGGGTTATATTGTACCGGTTTGTTTTAGTAAATGAACGGAGTGATGTCAGCGGTTACACACTCCATTGTTCTGTTTTTACTGAACAAACATGTAGGAGCCGACATGTTCCAGCTAATGTTAGAAACAATCAACATGTTCCAGCTAATACTGTAAACAATCAACAGAATCAAGAATAAATGTCAACGTAAGCTCAGTTTCYTACACTGTCTGTCGTTAAACCACAACAAAACACATTTATTTTACCTTCACGACGTTAATTTAATTAATGTCTTCACTGCAGCTCTTCTGCTCCTCGTCAAAGCGACTTCTCTCTCAGACTGTGAACCAAAGCGAGTATTAATACTTCCCGTGACGTCATGGTTGTGATGGTGTGCGCTCATTGGTTCCCCCCACAAACTGGACACGGAACAGCCAATCACATTGAGCGAGCGGACAACGTCAACACGAACCTTTTAGCAGGTCTTATCTAACTTTACACAGGTTCTGTTTACGTGGCGCTATCACAGTATGTGATCTAATCTGGCTAGTTCCTTTGAAGTTTAACAGAAATTACTGAGCCAATGACTGCACTCCATTTCCCATAGTTCCACGCTACGTCCCCTTCCTGCTACTTCCGCTTGTGTTGCGCATGCGCACATCGTTGGAGAATGCGGATTTGGAAGCTAACAGGCACAGCTAGCCAGCAAGCTAAAAACAAGCTTCTTCTTCTTCGGTTYTAAAGCTGTTTAAATGTCGAAAACAAATCCACAGCCCCCGTCGTGTTCGGCAGCCACGACCACGGGTGGACCCTCTTCGTCCTCTTCGTCTTCGCCCGCGGGGGGGTCGACATCTCCCGCAACCGTGCTGAACGTACAGCCAGAGAAACCTCAACATTACACGTACGTAGCTGGGTTTACACAAGCCGACGTGCAGCTGCACACACGGACCCACAGCCAGGGTTTGTGTAGTGAACTTTAGATGATTTTACATGGTCTGGACTGTGTTGTTCTGCTGTGATGTGTTTGTAAACTTAAAGAGGCCTGCTCAGGAACTATTCTTAAAGCTGTGTTGTAATAAAAACACAGTTTATATCTGATGYTTGGCCTTTAGAAAACTCTGGTAGTACTTCATTATGTGGTAGTACTGCCTGTAGTGGAGGGGAAGTAATAACAGCTGATAATGGTTTCAGTTTTGAGTTAGCTAAGTCCTTGTTGTATTCTACACAATGTTTGTGTATATAAACCATTATATTCTACACAATGTTTGTGTATATAAAACCGTTATATTCTACACAATGTTTGTGTATATAAACCATTAAAACTGTGTGTTACCACCTTGTCTTCCAGGTATCTGAAGGAGTTCCGAACTGAGCAGTGTCCCCTGTTTGTGCAACATAAATGTACACAGCACAGGCCTTTTTCCTGTTTCCACTGGCATTTCCTGAACCAGCGGCGCCGCAGACCCATCCGCAGACGGGACGGGACCTTCAACTACAGCCCAGATGTCTACTGTACCAAATATGATGAGGGGACAGGCAGCTGTCCTGATGGAGACGAGTGAGTGCAGCTGAGACCTGCTGATGTTTACCATCATCTCACACTGGCTTTAATTCAGGATGGATGGATGGATGGAT